CCCCAAAACCCCAAAACCCCAAAACCCCAAAACCCCGTTGAAGGAATAACCTCATAAAAAAATCGAGATATTTTCAATTAAATATATTTACTATTGTTGTCAAAATTTATCATAGATCAACTTCAATAATAATATAATGGAAGTGAATTCCAAAAGACGTCGTGAATCGATGTAAAACTTAGAAGAGTTGTTTAAAAAAGATGATGAAGATGTACATCTTCTGTTCCCAAATGACATCAAGCGACATAGGAAAAACAAGCTGACTCACATTGCTATATAAATTAAGAAGAGGTTCTCAGTGGATGAGCATCTACCAGATAATATAAGTTGCCAATCGAATCCGACCAAGCTAGACAAAGAATCTAATTTACATGAAGGTAGATATGATCTGTTTAATGAAAAGAGAATTCAACGCATCTCTTAGGAGAGAACACCCGTGATTAAAGATCAACTAAGATATACAACAATACTGCCAAAAGTAAGCAGTGTAAGATGCATCAAAGTAGATTAATTTGAAGATCAACTCATGCGAACTTATAAAAAATCCTCCAACGACAATTAGAACAATGAATAATCACCAGTTAATCGAGGGCCTAATGATCAGCATTAATTTTAGACTTTTGAAGCTAGAATGAGCCAGGGAGACATCTAACGGCTATAAGCTGCAGAAGTAGATTTATCTCCAAGCAAAAGACCACCTCTTAGAAAAACTCATTCAAATAAATTAATCCAAGATTTCATTTAAAGCTACAAGTATAAACTAGGAATTAAAGATCATGCGAAAGTTGATTTTGAAATATCATAGCTAAATAACAAAGTGAAGTAGTGGAAATTAAAAAGGGGGAAATTGAGACCAATGAAGATTGAGGAACTTGGTGTTTAAGACGTGAATCTTAATACTTAGTCCACAAGTGCGCCCACTTAGACATCATCATAAAACGAAGAAAAGATGAGTGCTCTCAAGAAAAAGAGAAAATTGAGATTCCTTCAGAAAGTTGCTGAAACTTAGCAATAGGATTAATCATTCTCATAGCAAATGAATCAGGCTGTTAAGATCGATCTTATCAAAATCCCAAAGTTTCAATCTCATAATGTATTGGCATATTCTGTGTTTATAAATCTTTTTATAGGTATCTCTAGTTAGCAATGATTCAAATTCCAGAAATGTCTCGCCATAGAAAGTATAATCTGAATACCCGAAAGTGATAGTTGAAGATTTCAATCAGAACGATCAGAAATTCTTTGATAGATTGTCTGATGGTATTTAACTTAGTGGCTAAGGATCATTTATTCACAACACTCTTAAAAATATTTACAGAAGGGTAACTTAACAATCACACTCTAACTCTTAAATAGACTTCCGTCCATGAACTAGATGACTTCCAAATTCAAATTCCTAAGATGCCTACCCAAATTGAGAAAACTCCATAAGCATCTCCATTAAAATCTAATTTTTCTATTCAAGTGAGAGAGACTCTTAACTCAAGCAACTCAAAGCCTCAAAAAAACTTTTTTCCAATTAAGCAGTCTGGGAGTGTCCTTCAATTTCAAAAAGATTGAGAATATGAATTGACTTATAAACATAAGCATATATGATTGAAAGTATAACGGTGGCTCAAATCTTTATAAGATAGCCATCTCTACTATAAACATTATGTATATATCCAGAATCATATCTCCTATTAATTCTGTTATTTAATCAATTTATCCATCTCTTTTTATTATCTTTTTTATATTTTCAGGGGTTTTGGGGTTTTGGGGTTTTGGGG